ACAGCTACTGTATTTTTTAAGTCACATCCTTCTTTCTCCGTGCACCCCCACTGCTTCCGTACATATTTTTGTTTATTGAATAAAAAAGTTGGCAGTCCATTTCAGCGATCTCTTCAAGGCAACTTTTACACTGCCGCAGATTCATCCCCAGGTACGTCTTGTCTGTAATAAAATCTCTCTGCCCTCCATCCAACACTGACCTACGCACACACATCGATTTTCATGTACGTGCGCAGCCTTACTGGTTTCAGTGGGACTGCCTGGCTGTGCACTTCACGTTTAATACAGTCCTTCATTCAATTTTCTTAGCAACAGCAGTGGAGTACAAAGCTGCCGCTCCATCGACCAGCAGCAGGCTGATATTCAGGTAATTTGGAGGATCAGGTCAAAGTGTTCAAGTAAGGATGGGGAGCGTGTGTCCATTTTCCTTTAACCAAGGGCCCGGTTTTGCTGTTGCTTAAATAATGAAGTGGTAAAATTTCCAGGGAAATACAGATGTGCAAAAGTGGGACTAAATTCATGAGGAAGAGCGCACCTGTGATCCTCCCCGGGGCTATGAACTCACAGGAGGGATAGGAGGAGGTCGCAGCTGTGCTTACGAATACACCTGAATACTGAAATTCAGGGATGCCAAATATTTGCCCGGTGCTGTAAGTCAGCACAAGGAGGAAGCACAGGGAGATCTTTACTTTCTTCTCTCGGCAGCCAAAGATACCCCTTCCTTTCGAACGGCCAGCCAGACCTGTACCAGCTCTTACGAGCCCAGTTTCCCCCTTTCACGTCTGCCTTTCACGTCCCCCTTTCACATCCGATGCTGATGAGACTCCACCATTTCCAGACCGAGGAGCTATTCGCTTTGTAGTAAAAAGATCTAAAAAAACCAAAATCATTTAAACCCTGAAAGACTGGGAAAACATTTTAAAAGCCCCCAAATGAAACTCAGAAAATGAAGAGCCACAGACCTCATCAAATGCTCCTCACCAGGGTGTTTGAAAATGCCGTTCCCTGTGTTTAACATCAGGGCAGTTTCCTAAATCACTTTGATCGCAGGTGCTTCTCACACTTTAAATTACACTAAAATGTCTGCTTCTTCTATAGCTGGGGCTTTTCCCCTGGCTTTTATGCAAAAATCCCTACTTAAATGAGTTTCTGTATTCTAAACAATAGAAATTTAACAGCATGATCTGAACGAAAAAATTGATTAAGCTCTGTCTCCTGAAAGCAAGTTTCAGGGAATTCACTTGAATGACTATTTGCATGTGAGTTACTCATTACCAGCACAATGGGACTTCCAAGGGTCCCTTACCCTAAAACCAGTCACAAGGGCACGCTGGGGGAGGAATTCAGACTAACTTTTCATAGCACGTTTCAGCATCTTAATAAATAAAAAGACAACAAGGTTCCCGTGAACAGCAAAACCCAATGCGTATCCGCCTGGTGACAGGCAGAATTTAACACCTTTTCTGCAATTCTTTTGCAGAGCACGAAAAGCCTCGCACCTCCAGCTCCAGAGCTACCTCCCTGCCCGTTTTTTAACGTTGGGGGAGCTGCCTGAAGGCAGGCAGTGAGGGTTTGCAGCTCTGGCGGGGGGGTCAGGAGGAGAAGCCCCCCCTGCGCAGGATGCCCCTGCCTCCCCACCAGACCCACCATCAGGCAGCTGCAGAGCCAGGGACAAGCCGGGGACAATCAACACGGCCTCAGACACCCACAGCCTAGGAAAAAAAGGCAGGAATAATAAGGAGCTTAAATGAATTCAAACTCTCAAAGATAAAAGCAATGCAAGTTAGCACACAGAGGGGAGCAGGGCAATGCGGTCGATGCTTTAGCTTCAAAACCACCAACGCACGCGCTCCATTTTCAATAGCTTCACAGTGTCATTTCTAGCTCTTCGTAAATACAGGAAAGGAGGGCATTGGCACTTAATAATTTATACTGGACCTCAAAACGGAAAGTAGGGCAGCCTTCATTTCCCCAGTGCTGAGGGATACGGGATGGCTGACAGGAGTAACAAGACACCGTGTGGGAGCAGAGGCCAAACTTTCTGTTGCTGCAGAGGAGGCTCCACAAACGGGCTGCTCCAGGCTTTCCACGAAGGAAAATTGTCCTTCTCCCCCTCCCCTTCTTAACTGCTTCTTTTCGGGTTGTGGTGAAGGCTGCAAGAGTGAGACAGTAGTTTAAATCGCAGCTTAAAGTGAAAATATCAGCCCCGCTAGTGTTTTCAGATCTTCCCAAAACAGAGGCCAGAAAATGTGCGGGAAGGGCTGCTCTAAAAATCCAGAGCTAGCAAAAGCATGAACCACGTAACAGCTGGTCTCTGAGAGACAGAACAACAGATCAGGGTTGGTGTTCAGAGCTCACTTCCAGAAGCCGCTTTGATATCCCACTGCCTTTGCTGCCAAAGGAAGCTTGGAGAAGGGAACCACCTGCCCAGGACTATCTGAATTATTTACCGGGGACACTCGGCTGGCATTATTTCCCACCTCAGTTCCTTCAGACAGGCCTAAGATCACAGATGCATCTTGAGACACTCCCCGCCTCCGTGCCCAGCAGGACAGAAGCTGGCCTGGAGCACCGGGGTGAGCGCTGCAGGATCTGCCCTGGGTGTTTTCTTGCCCCCAATCCGTACAGCCTGGATACAGCACCAGTTATACTTTGTGTCGGTTCCCATCCCTTCAGTATCCAGCATTTGGAGGCCAAATTTAAGGCTCCAGGGAGCTCACATATTTGGGGTCAATTTTACCTCCTCTAAAATCACAGATAAAACTCTCCAAATTATATATGCCCCAGAGCCATGTATACTGCAGTGGGAAAGCTCCCCCTCACCCTGCTTTAGCTTTCGGTCACCCACTGAGGGGTGGCACGTCCCCAGGAGAACCAGCACCGCAGAGCCAAGCTACATGAAAGCTGGGGCTCTGGATGGTTTCCAGCGTGGGGCCGACCTCCAGCCACGTGCCGCTGTCCCCATCCCGAAGAGCAGCAGCAACAGGCGGAGGCGCTTACAGCTGGATGGGGCAGAAGATGACACCCTACGCCAAAACCACCAAGCTCCTGAGGCTTGGGCGGTTTCAGATGGTCGTGCTTCAGCCAAGGCACGCTGATAGAGATGCGTAGGAGGGTGCTAACAGGCCACTGGTCTCCATCTGTTTTACAGCAGATGCTTGTGCCTCTGTTTAATACCCAGCGCAGCAACTTGCACCACTCAAAACGAGGCCTGTGGTATTTCTTAGCACAGGCAGAGACAGGCAGCTTGCTGCAGCCGGCACCTGTGCTGCTCCAGATGGGTACCGGAGGCAGCCTGACTACACGGTGTGAAGTTCGAGCACCTATCTAGCTACATTCACGCTACGGGAAAAGAGGTTTGGTTGAACCATAGTGAGTTCTCAGCACAGGCTCCTGTCAGGAGTCCCAGTGCCACTGCTCAGCTAATTTATTGTAGTTTCCTCACTAAAAAGACCTTCAAGAATGTCATCCTGTCCTCTATCAATCAGAACTGAATTTACATCTTTAGCATGGATACATTAGGATTTAACTAGTTTTCCACACAATATGTCGGAAAGGGTAGCTAAGATCCCTGATTGCATCCGAGACTTTAAATTAAACGCTTTTTCTTAAACAAAAACTTTGTACCTGTACACGAGGGGCTGCACAGCTTCGGTACCTACAGAACATGCACTGCAGGCACGCCTATCTTATATGTAACACATACTGGGGGAGCAGATTTCTTTGACTATAAAGCAGGGGGGTTCAAAAAGAGAAAAAAATTTGCCTTTCTGCTTTCTCAGCAGAACAGAAAGCAAGGGCCAAACTCACTAACCCCTTGCTCAGATAAACTGTTATTATTCATGGGAGCAAATCCGTTTATACCAACATACTCATTTGAGTACAGGTTGTGGAGCTGGGCTCTAAATCCCTGTGTAAAAAGCCTTCATAACAATCTTGAGTTTGTTCCCAGAGCTCTAAATAAGCACCATTATGAAATGGCTTTGTGCTGGGTAAACACCACGGAAAGGAGTGGCCAGGCTGGGGGCTGAGCTGTGGGGACAAGCTGAAAAACTCAGGCAAGTGTCTGTGTACAGAGAGCTTTTTTCCAAAGCAAGCTCTGCAAGCAAGAACAAGGCTGGATTTCCCCAGTGTCCACACTTTCAGCATCCCGACCTTTCCTTTCCAAATATAATCCGCTTATTCAGACTCTGACACAGCAGACTGGCCCCTGTGTATCACGCTGACACGCAAGCCCGGGCCCCAAGTCACCGCAGTAGCTTAGCCTAGCTTGTTCCAGTTTTTCGTTCTGTTTGAAATGGGATGTCAGCCTCCACCTGCCAGCCAGCACGCCTGGTTTGTGCTTGGAGAGTCGCTGCTTTTACAACCAGTCTTGATACCGGACTTTGGGGAATTAACTGGAAGGTCTGAACGTGCCATTTTGCACAGACCCCTTTCTTTTCTTTTCCTAAAGAATTAATAAAAAGAGAGAGAGTGTGTCTAAAAACAGGTATTAATACGTTGATGTCCTTCAGGGAATCTGATGAAATGTGCTTGTCAGGAAACACTTAGTAGACTGGCGGGGTGGGGGGAAAGCCAGCCTCTGGCTTTTTAATTGTGCGTGGCACAATCTGAGTTCATAGGCACGACAGCAAGTTGTGCTTTCACTGAAGAATCTTCCAAAATGAGCCAAGAGAAATCTCCAGAGAGCAGAAAAAGGCACGTAAAAGTAAACTGACCAGTTTAAATAACATGCCACATTCTTGGACAAGTAGACATAGTTTGATACAGCTGGAACTCACAAGTATACAGACTCTGTGAATCCAGCAAAAATCTCTCATAGCCTTTTACAGGAACATTGCCGACTGGTGAGAAACATGCACACGAAATCAACTGAGGGTGGGGAGAGGGAGATCACATAACAAGTCTTCTGTCCGGGCTTTCCCATGTCGGCCATGCTGGCTAGTAGTGGTGCTGGTACACAGCTGCTGGCGTAGTGCCGTTCTCTATGTGTTTCAGATGACAGGAGTGACAAAGCAAATGTTCATCTAGCGGGTAGCAGCGATGCCCGTCTTCGTCGTTCAGTTCCATCCCACAGTCCTGCAAAGAGAGGCCATGCAAATTATTAGAGCATATGTTCATCTTCCAGCATCAAGCGGGGTCTGGCTTCCAGGAGGGTGATTTTGTGACAAGGACAGAAGACACCCAGCCAACAGCTCCTTCCTCGTAAGTTCAACATTTGCCATGAGAAGGAAAGCATCTGGCAGAGGCATTTACAGGGGCAGCCTTGTACAAATTTGTCTTATGCAGTTTTATTGAATAAGCTTTATCTCGGGGCAAGGTGCAACCCTATGTATTTTAAACGTGCTTGTGTCTCCTTACACTCTCGGGTAGGATTCACCTCTTCACATTACATTAATGGCAGTTGTACTGATGTGAAACTGGCCTGCTCAGTCAGGGCCTCTTACCACTGCATACGAGCACAGTGAGAGAAGACATCTATTTATTTTAATTCACAGAGCACAAGTATGAAGGCTCTCTGGGAAGCCTTGCATGGAGACCAAATGGTGTTTAAGAGCTGGCATCTCTTGGGATTTTTTTGTGCAGCCATATCCCTTCTCCAGCCCCAATGACACATTCATTTCCCATGAGAGTGAAGGTAACTTACACCAGACAGGATCAGTCATCACCTTAGCATTTTTGAACAATCTGACCTGGTAATCAGATATACTAATGTGATCTGGAGCTCAAGGCTTCTGAAAGGCAGCAATAGAACCTTACTAAGTCACTGTGTTTCCTTCGTTAACAAATAAACTGCCAAGTTTAAAAGGGATAACTACCTCTTTGCCCATAATTTTATGGATAGCAAATGGAATCCCAGCTGAGACACATTGCTGCAAAAACTTTTGTCCTCGGACTGGAAATTTCTCAGCCACTGATAGAAAGGGTCGCACAATGCAAGGTTTGAATTGCCCATCTACTGCCATTGGAAGGGGGAAGATTTATTTCCATCTTAAAAATAACAGTAGTTATCACTATTAAGTGCCCACTCCCTGAGAAAGCTGCTGACCTACCTCGCAGTGATAACATTCCACGTGGTAATCCTTGTCCATGGACACAACCCGAATGGTCTCATCAGACCCCTGTAAGCATTCAAGCAAAAGAGAAATGGCAGAGGATTACAGCAGGATCAGACACGTGCACTCTGTAGATTGCTTCCTGCCACAATGTGAATGTTGAACAAATGCATTTGAGCTGCTGGTTGGAGACCACAAATAAATCCTGCCACCTGCAGTTACTTTTACAGTAAAGCTTCATCATCGACTGCAGATATCCTCTAAAATGTAACCTCAGAAATGTCAAATTCTCTCTGTTTAACAGTCACATCTATCCCAAATCAGGCATTAATGATTTGGTAATTTCAATATATCACATTTCTCAGCATTTTAAATTGACTTTGCCCAAGATTCATCTCCTCCAAGTATTAAAACGAGTTTGTCCCAGAGGGGTCACACAGAGGTCATTCACGAGCACCACCAGCATTTATTGACATGAGGGAAAGGTATCCTGAACATAAGACTAACAGCAGTATAAACCTGCAGGAGATGAAAAAAGCAGCCTGCCTCAGCAGAAATAAGGTTCATTATCGAGCAAAAGAAGGGTCACATCTCAAGGGCCGTGTATGAGCCTAGGTGAAAAGGCTGCACGCTGGAGGAAGCCATCATCTCTCCCCATTCCCAAGGACATTCACCTTGACGCAGGGTCAAGTGTGAAAGAGAGCAAGGCCTGAGACATGAAGCTCCCTCCCCAGAGGCGATAAGAAATGAAAGGCTCTCACCTCGGAGGGCAGAATGGGAAGGCCGCATGCTGCACACTTTGGAGCTAAAACTCTGCAGGAGCAACGAGAAAGTGAAGGCAAGTTATAGATCAACATAAAAAGACAGGCCTGTATGTTCTTGGTGATAAGACAAAAAGCTGCAGCTGTAAATAACTTATCCACAGGAAAGCTTTACATCCCAAGATCATAAATTCATTTTAGGATTGATTGTAAGTAATGCTTGGCACACATTGCTCAGTCAGGCAAAAAAAGGTCTTACATTTTACATGTAGTGCCAGAAAAAAAACCGAACCCACTGTAGAATTCTTGGCTGCTACTGAGAGATTTGGAAGAGAGAATGAGGAGAAACTGAACAGGACCGTCCCCAGAAAAAACACATTAAAAGAAGTGGCAGCCTTGCACTGGGGCAGGAAACCTCAGAGAAAACACCATGGGACCGTAAGGTTCCTTAAGGCCTTACAACACAAGGTAACACGATAAATAAATATTTAAATGAAATAGCAAGGAAACGTGCATCATTTCAGAACAACGGTGGCACACGGCAGCACCTCTGATCTTGGCACAACACGGAACAGTTCCTGGGGCTGCCTGAGCAACACTTAATACTCTGCCTGCTCAGAAAATGGAGCAAGGAGCAAAGCGAGCCAAACTCAAAATGTATGCAGCTCTAATATCATATCTACCAGCTAAGAGCACAGCCATTTTATTTTACTGAATGACAAGTGGTTTTTTAAGTGGATTTATCGGTTGTTTAATTTAGAGCTGGATAAAAGTTTCAGTTTGATTTCTAAAAGCATTCTTTAAAAGTAAAACTCAGCCCCGCAACTACTCAAAAAGCAACTCACGTTGATTTCAACAGGCATTCACAGTCTTACTTCAGAGTGGACTGATTTCTTACATCACTGAACACTTCATGAGCACTATTTCTCACTATCTCTGCTTTGCAGAAGGGGCAGCTGAAGCCCAGAGGTTAACTGACTTCCTCAGAGTTACACAGAAAGTCAGTAGCAAGACAAGAGGAGAGACATCACGAATTTCTAGGGTCTAGCCCTATCCTCAGAATTCTACCTTCTAATCCTGTCCCTATTTTACTAATCCACGCTTCCTAATTAGCTAAAATAAAATTTAGCTTCCTAAAAAGCTAAATTAGAGGCTTGTTGATTGGAGCATCTCTGCTGTTTCTTTTGTCCTTACTTGTGGTAATCTCTGACACAGTAGATTTTGTTTTCAGAGTCTACAGTGAATGGCACACCATCCAGACACTCGTTACAGACCACGCATCGGAAGCAGCCTGGATGATATGATTTCCCTAGAGCCTGCAGGATCTGCAACAAACCAAGAGACAGGAAAAAAGCATGTGAACAGCCAATAAAGGTGAAAATAATAAACACACGGCTTTACATCAGACAACGCTGCATATTCATCAGTGGGGCTGTGTCTTTTTTTGGGCACCTCATCTGAAAAATGAGTTAACAGGGATGGACAGGGCTGCTGGAATCAATATCTATCACCTGGTTCCAGAGAAATGAATTATTAGCAAGGCTAAGAAAACAACTTAGAGTCTCAGTCAAGGTATTTAGCATTACAAAGGATAGAAGTGACAGAATTTAAAGGGAAGAAAATAATTTCTGATGCCAACAGTTGGAGAATACTTAGCAGGATCACAAGGCAAGACGTACCAGGCCAACAAAAGGAAATACATCTTTATATTCTCCATGAGAGGCTGAAACAAATACTGTTGCTAGGTTTTCATAATGCCTTAGATATCCAAGACCTTTGTACTCGCTAGCCTGGCTTTCTAATTAACACAGACTATGGAAACTGTATTGAACTCAACAGCTGCAATTCACCTGCTGGCTTTGGGGCAGCAATTACTACCTGGAATACCACTTCTGAGTATAAAATAGCTTTTCCAGTTTTAGTGCTTTCCAGCGTAAGCAGGCAAGCAAAGATAATTAATGATAAGCATTAGAAAATCTTGGGAGGCATGCTGTGAACTAACCACTCAGAAATTCCTAATTTCTTCGCCTCAGCCGCAGCTCACCAGCTACATGACCGTGAATCTGTCTCCCTCTGAATCACCCACAACTGAGTGCTGCCCGGTGCTGGCTAAAGGCCAGCTGACCCCCTGAGCCGTGACCCACTCTGTGAAAATCTTGAACGGATGGTACCTGTTGTAGCCTAATGAGAACTAGCAGGATATCCACACAGCTACTGAACAGTTTTCAAGGACTTGGACAGATCTGAACTGAGGTCTGGATCATATACTCTGGGTCGAACCTATTCCCCAAGGTATTGGCCCAACGCCTTCCAGCACCCACAAGAAGCAGCAACAAGACAGCAGCTTCATCCTGAAGATACGTAGGAAGCCATGGCTTGACTACAGGAAAGACAGGCTCAGCAGAGCCGCACCGATGCCCCACAGCAAGGGAGCACTGCAGAGTCGCGGCACTTCTGAGCAGGAAGCATCGACAGGATTATGAATGCGCTGTGCAGGGAAGCCCAAAAGGGGGTGAAAGAGCTGAAGGCTCTGATTTTCAATTTGCACTGAAAACAGGCAGAGCAAAGTCTCTGCATTGCATACAGCAGGGTGCCAGCTTCGCTTCCTCGCAAAAATCAACAAAAGGCGTAGTGGATTTTCTTTCCGCTACCAATCTCACACTAGGCAGACTACCAGATGATAACAGACTGTACTGGATATGAATATATTTTGCTTTTGATGCATTCTTCTAAAAAGCTGTGGGATTTTTTCTCCTAAAGCAATTATCACTTACCATGTCCATTATCAAATGACCACAAATGAAACACCTGTCAGCTGACTGCTGGAAACCAGAATACTGCAAGGACAAAAAAGAATTGGCTTAAAATTTCACAAGGCTAGTCAAGCATAAACAACAGCATATTATGGGGCGTTATTTGCTTGGCCTTTTTCTGTACTCCTTACACAAGCTAAACTTTCCAGTGCTTTTTTCAGTATATGAAGCTGTGGATGGGTCCCCAGAGGGTATTCTATAAAGACATCAGACTTCTACTGTTCAGAAGGAGCGTGAATTCCTGTAACTTTCAAGTCCTAAATTTACGTTTAATTAAGTATATAAGTAAATACCATAAATACACATGCAAATAAGGCATTTACTAATAAGACTTACATTCTTATATGACCATGTGAATCTACACACCAGGAACTTCTGTTTATCACAAACTCATATCACAACATCTGTATATATAGGCTCAGAAAGCCAAATTCTTCCTTTGGTTACACCGTTATAGGTCTACTGGAGCTTCCCCGAGGTCAGTGGTATCGTCCCAGCTCTCTGGTAGTGTAACATTCAAGCTTGGCCCAGAGCACCTTTCTTGCTGCTATGGCTAAGATCTAATGGCAAGGACCTGCCTGTCATGTCCACGACATGCACCTCAGGCACAACACATCATCTGTCTAAGGGTTCAGTCTTGACTGAATGGTGGAAATGCAAACTGGAAAAATGAAATATTTTAGGTGCATTTAACCAATCTTTCCATTTTCAGCCTGTGTAGAATATACTGATGAGAGCAAAGAAAATTAACTCACTTCTCTCTGACAGAGATCACTAGACTTCCGCAATAAATAGGCAAATATGACTTTTTAAAGTCTCAATGAAGGCTTAATCTATAAGGGCTCAAGGGCAGGGGGGTATATGGCTTTTTACCTCCACCAGCCAAGGACAGGACCATGGGGTTGCTTCATGCTCAGGTATGTTCACATAAAATCCATTGAGGGAAGCAAAAAGATATCCATTAAGATGCCCAAGCAAAACCAGTTAATTGGGAAGGGAAATTCACTCATTGATTCTTCTGTAGCCATTCATCTCACTCTTGTCTCCACAGCATGGCCACAGAGACACGCTTTGAAGGAGCCATCGCAAGAGGCTACGGCTTCAACTACAAGCTCTGCGCTGCAAAACCATGGTCTTTCACTCAGCAACTTCCAGCACCACATGTGGGCGGCCACCATGGCTGGGGCTGGCCCTGGGTAAAGGGGGAGCAGAAGGGCCAGGCAGGATGCTGGACTCCAGCCGCGTGAAATGTGGACAAAGCTGCCGGGCAGAAAGGCTGCACGTCAGCTGGAGAGGCTGAGATGTGCCAGCAGAAGGGGCAGCTGTGTGCTTACCAGGAAATCTTCTTCACAGAACACCTTGCCATTGACAAAATAAAAGGCTTTTCCTCTCAGCTTTCGACCTGAGGAAAAAACACAGAGGGAAGAGAAGAGAAAGGTCAGCAGAGAGCGGGGAGAAAATGTCAGCAACAACTGGCTGCTGAGAAGCGAACAACAATGAGGACATCCAAGCACGGCCGCCGCACAGCTGGAAAAGAGCACCCAACCCCAGCACGGATCTCCCCAGCCTCCAGCGCAACTAACCCCATCTCCTCTTCCACTGGCGGGCGCTGATGAACGACAATTGCTGAATCCGGACAGCAGTCCCACCGCCGGGCAGGAGGTGGTAGCTTTGCAAGCCTGGACCACCTCCTGGCAGATTACAACACGAAATAACCTGGCAAGAGCGAGTGAGGGTACTCTGACTCATGCTGGAAAACACCCCAGGAGAGGAGCAAGGAGAAGAAAGGGCATGTAGAGGGTGATCCATACTTGACATCATTCCTCAAAATGTCACCTCCCATGCTGTTCCACTAGAAGGTGCCTTCAACCAGCAGCTGCCAGATAAGCCACTGCAATACCCGACCACCCGGCCTGCCTCCAGCAGAGTGCAACACCGGAGTGCTGAACACACTCCTCTCTGCTCCCTATCAGCATATTCATTATTGCAGCTGCCAACAAAAATTTGAAAGCATTTTAAAAAAAAATTAGTTTTTTCAAACCAGAATGTCCTAACAGAGATAAGATACCAAAGTTTTTCCAAGAAAGGACTCTACACATGTGGAAGACTTATATTTACTGCAGCTTTTGTGTTTATGCCTCACATTCGTCATCTGTTTTCAGTTCCACATAACTATGGCAACACATCCTCACGCTGCCGCCACTTCTTCTAAATGCCCTGCCTTCCCCCCGGAGAAAAGGGCTAGGGTTTGTTTGTTTATAAAAAGCTGCTCCTACCTTTTTGCAGCCTGGATTCCCTATTCAGCCAGGGGTTTGAAATGCAGCCTAGCACTGGAGTGGCTCTGTTCGCTCTGCCGGTCAAGGAGCCCCAAGTGTGTGCCCGGAGGCAGCGCCCGGGGCAGGGGGAGCAGCGCAGGGGGAGCAGCGCAGTGGAGCAGGACCTGCCGCAGGCTGGTTTCGGGGACCTGCCAGGCATTGCTGGAAGGAAATCGGAACCGAGACACCAGGGCCCAGAAGCCTCCTGCTTTGATATGTGTGTATAATTAAAAAAATGATCATCAGCTGCCAGGTGTATAAATGCAGATGACACATGGGCCTGGTCTGGAGCTCACCTCCATGCTTTATGGCATGCACCGACCTGGCAGCCTTCAACGATTAACCACACTGGCTGCAAAGTGTTAAGAAAAGGAGGCAGCCAAGTAAAACCACTTCAATAAATTAAGAGCTTTACAGTCTCCTGCATACGCCAGAGGGCACTCTCAGGCTGGGAAACAACTGGCACTGCTCCTCGGGAAATGGAGATGCTCCAGTGAAGCTCTAAAGTTTTGCCAGTGAATTCAGCCAGACCAACATTTCACCAGTAGCCCTTCGTGCCCTGCCCAGGTTTCAGCCAGCAAGGTGGGCGGAGGATGCGGCAGCGTGTTTCTCAAGGAACAAGCCCCGGTTTGCACGGGCAGCAGCTTTGTGGTTAAGCTGCAGTCACTGCTCAGCCACATTTACCGGGCAGCGTAGGAGCCAGAAGCACGCCACCCTGACACGCTCACGGTCCCCTGTTCTCCTCTAATCTCGGCTGGGGACAACTGCATTACCCGGAGGCCAGCCCATCCTTGCACCAACATGGACATCAGACAGGATACAGAAGAAAACCCGATAAACCCAAAAGCATCCCGCTCTGATTTCTCTCACTCACTCTGATGCTTTGCCAAGGTTGCCAACACCACAACAGAACCCGGAGCCCAAAATAAAAAGTGTCTAATCTTGGACACATTAGCTTTGTGGCCCATAAGCCAGGGTGCGTATTTGTAGGATAAGCCCTCCTGTGTGCCTGCCCATCCACAAGTAAGCCCAGCATGCTCGCCGGCAGCCGCAGAGTCCCAGTTTCTGAGGAGGGGAAGAAGCAGCACGGGGACACCTGGGATTTGCAGCACCCTTGTCAACGGTGCTCCTAAGCGAGTTAACAACCAGCCCAATGCAGCAAGAATTACCCCCAAAAATCTCCCGCTGATTTAAATACAGCATTGGGCACTCCTAAAAACAAAAACAAAAAACAAACAGAAAACATTTAACTTTGATTTTAAATTACCTGGTAGCATGGGCTCCAGTTTAGAGCAACAGGCAGGTGCCCAAGCGACTTTTCACCCATATGCAATGTCTCTCCTTAAAGATAAGCTGGCAGCCATGAGGAAAAACATACATGTGGAGCCATGCAATGAGGAAACCCTTTTCTGGATGACGGCCGGTGTGCGAGCAGCAGCCGTCACACCAGAGGCGATGAGGTTTGGATCGCTGCCACCACGTCATTCTTCCACGGTGACAAAACCAGCACTTACCGGCCATTCTGCACCCGGTATATTTTTAACCCCGTGACATTAGCAGGTCAAGATTGATGGCAACAGACCTTCAGAGAAGGTGCCACAGCTCGTGTGCTGTGCCTGGGCTTCTGCTGAAAGCTCATTCAGCAGAGGGATAAAACCCTTTATAAGGGATTTATAATTTGGCTGTCAACGTTACATGGGCCCATGAAGAAGAGGTGCTGACACCAAGAGCGCTTTGAGGGAAAGGGGGGGCATGATTTAATTACTTTCTTTTGGGAAGAAGTGGTCATTTTGACTATTTTTAGCTCCTCTCCACAACTCTCTTTAAGCCCCTGGCAGAAATGTAAATGGAAATTTGCCAAAAAAAGCGAGTAACTAGGTACCCCTGCAGCTGCTGCGGGAGCGGTGCATGCAAACAGAGCCAATTTCTTCCTCTGCCGCTTTCAGCTTCTCCCTGTCCACATCGGGATGGACTTCTCCTCCCACCTCCCCTTTGAGCTGAGGAAGCATCTCCTCATTGTACACATGGGAAAGCAAGATGCAGGAAAAGCTCACTTCCCCAGGCTGCGCTGGGGACTGTCCCAGTGGAGCTGGGAAATGCACGTTCTAGCTGCAGCCACACCAGTAAAACAAACCATGCTGGGACTGCCCCACGGAGCAGAGCAGGGCGGCAGCGGCTTCTGTCCCTGCACCGAGCTCCATGCCACAGGACAGCACCTTAAATTGAACAAGTCCCTCTCAAAAGTGATACTTCTGACTGCGTGCCTGCAGAGGCTGGCACAGGGTTCGCTTAAGCACAGAGATGCTGTCGTAATTTCACCAAAAGGAACGATTGAGAACTTAAGTAAGTGGCATATAAGGAATCACATATTGATCACTGCCTCCTTTAAATATGCATCACTTTTTAAATATGCATCATGATGACTACAGAGACGATATCCTTTGATAAACTCAGGAATGGTAATGCGTGGCTTGCCGCTTTCAGGATCGATTGCTCTACTACATGTCTTAAGCTGCTGGCTCCTGACTGTATTTCACTTTCACTTCACCCTGGATTTAGCTAATCTCTCACCTGAAAAAATTCAGAGAGTTAAAATTCTTCAGCATTTCAAACCCTACCATCTTCACCCGTTGTCACAAGATTTCTTGATCCTCTTCCTGACAGGAGGTTTGAGCCTCGTGCTTTTATGTACTGCTCATCCCTAACGCGTCTGTCTAATCTGTTTAGCTGTGGGACCTTCAGGATGACCTCGAGGTCATTTCAGCAACAATTTCAGAATATTTCAAGCTTAGTCACTAGTGCCTTTGCGCTAAAATAAACACACTTTGCTTAGCAGCTGGTAATAGGCATACCACCAGGCTGCACTCCCAGGTTCCTGGTGCTTTTGTCCATCGTTTTCTCAAATGACAGCTCTCTCCTTTTGAAGTTCATACAGAGATGGGTTTACCAGGGACTTGCAACGGCCCAAGGAGGATGCTGGGAGATGCAGCATTTGCTTGCTGGGGAGCTGGACCCAACCTTCTCTTTTGAAGTTGCTTTTCCATTATTTATTAAAAGGACAACGGGGTCACAAACCCATGTTCAAAGACAAGAGATTGCTCTCAATGCACGTAATGGTACAGGGCCACATCCAGATCCCCGGGCTCTATGGGGATCCGTGACCAGGACCCTGCATTGCTGGGGAGGCAGCGTGGACCTAACTTATCACTTATCTAAGCACCACGGAGCTCCCTGCGGTATCTGCACAGCAGATGGGCGAGAGTCACTGCAGACTGGCAGCTGCTCCTGGGCCCCTTCCATGCTGACAGCCCTGGGCCTCTGTCATTACAAAAAATCAGTCCTTCTTAGAGTGCCACAGCTGTAAGATAAATTTGGACATGTGATTACTAAATGGCAGGTTAAATACAAAAGGATTTCAGTTTCTGGATTCAGTGGATGTAACCTCCTGGCACACTAGCAAGACAGCAGGCTGGAAACACCATCCCTCTAGCTGCTAAGGATCGAAACAAGCTCCTCCTCAGTCCTGGGTGGCTCTGGCTCAAGGTGCAGTCCTTCCCCCAGTTTTCATTTCCCCCACGTAAAGCTGCGAGGAGGTTCGCATCGAAGAACCTACTCTGGTCCGCGCGTACCCTCCAGGCAGCACAACGGGCGCAGACAGAGCCCAGAGACCTCGGCTCCCTCATACCACACAGAAGTCCCTGCTGCCCACAGACCAGCAGCACACGACCCACTGGTGCCCGGCCAGCCCACGCGATTTTGGAGCCCTCCATGGATAGTGGCTTTGCTGGCACGCAGTACGGTGTCCTACTGTGTGCTGCAGACTAGAATCATAGAATCATAGAATCGTTAAGGTCGGAAAAGACCCTTAAGATAATCGAGTCCAACCGTTAACCTAGCACTATACCATGTCCTCGAGGATCAGCATCAGAGCTGGTCGAGCACCAGAGAGCTCTACTTAATTTCTGCCATCTGCGCTATTTCTGTTGGCTGCCATTAAAGCTGGATGCAGCACTGAGTCTGGCAACAGAAGCATCAATATTTCCAATCTGCTCTTGAACTGGGGCGGCAGGGAAGAGTCACTTAGATG